ATTGATTTTCAGAAAGCACAATTTTTTATTTATATTATTTATATTATGCTTGCCTACTTTATCACGCAAAAAATTTCGAGAATTCGGAAGTAATAATTATTATTTAGACTTTTTTATATGACACTTTAAAACTTATTTGTTAACATGAGAAATTTTTGACACCCAGTGTTTTAATGAAAGCAAGATGTATCTAAAAAAACTTGGAAAACCGAAAATTTTAAGATATTTTTTCTTTAATCTTGAAAATTAAATTTTCGTGAAATTTTATCGGAACTCTGGGAAACGGGAATTTTACATTATATTTAAATTCTGTCTTCTTTTTGAAAACATGTAATGAATTCAATTCTAAAAAATGATAAATACAATCTCGTGGAATTCCTGCCTTCTACTAATTTTCAATACATAGATAATTTATTTTTGTTGTTTGACAATTTATTTCAAAAAATTGCATTAAGCGGTTCTCTAATCTTACTTGGAAATTTTTAATAAAATACTTGGAAAATCTCAGAGAGAATCTCTTCTTTAAAGATTTCAATAAATGCTCTGAAAAAGAAAATTCGATAATTTAAATTTGTACAAAATCTCTCCAAATGTAGTCTTCCGGAAATATGGTTGAGAACAATTTTCTCTTCCGCAATGGTACCGATTTAAAAATAAGTGTTCCTGCAGTTGCTGCGTGCGAGACGAGAACTGTTCACGGCAAACAATGGCCGCGCGTTGTCGGCGCAGCATCGGCGATGGCTAAGGGTTCGGGAAGGGCGAATTGCGACTACGTGCCCCCGCATACGAATGCCTCCGCGTACGAGAAGGAATTGAGGATGAGAGGGAGGAAGAACATCGACGCTGCGTCGGCGTCGCTTCGAATCTAATAGATCGCGCTTAATACTTATGGTCAAATCGCGACCAACAGTCCCTGTAGACCATGGGAATCCGCTCATTACCATTCCGTCCTGGCGCGACGCAGTCCCAATAACCGTCGTTGATAATAATCAGAAATGCCTTACGAAGGATGTAAATTAATTCGGGCATGGCTATGGCAATGTCTTCAAGGCGCGAAGATTGTGGTGAAGCTGAAAAAGTTGAATCTCTTTGCTTGTTGGGCGAATTCCAATTCAATCGAATGAATGTCGGTAATCTTTCATCAATCAAAGTTTTTGAAACATTTAACGTAACTATTGGATAATTTCTTAAAAGATCAATATTGACTCAGAACTTCAGTAAAAGTACTAACAGTATTAGTAATTAATAATTGGTAATTAATGATTAATTTTTTACTATAAATTATTTTGAAATATTTTATTGGGTGAATGCAAAAGTTCGTATCCGATTAAAAAGAAGAAATCTTATGTAAGTTTAGGACACAATATTTTATTCAAATTGGCAATTACTTACCATTCGATGAGAGAAATAAGTTTTCACTTTAAGAATCTGTTTTTTTTTTATTGCATAGGATGATTGTTAACGGAGTTATGGACAATCAAAGTCAAGATATTTTTTTTATTTAATCCACGATAACAGTAATAAAAAAGAAATAAAAAATCGTAGGAACATTTTTAAAAACTGATTTTGTGGAGAAAACTTGAAACTTTCAAATTAGAAAGTCGAAAGTTTTACAAATCTTTTTGGATACAGGTCTAAAAAGTGAGAAAAAAATTTCCCATTTTGTCTAATTCGTAATTTTTTTTATATGTAAAAAGTATCAAACTTACAAAAACTCAAATAACATAATGACCTTTCGCGCGAAAGTAGAAATTTTAAACAATATTAAATATTAAATCTCATTCGATGATCATCATTATATGTGAGAACGTAAATCAATAAAATCAAGATCTTTAACGGTCTTAGCTGGATCTTAAGTGCTTTATAAATATAATTCTGTATGAATTTATACATATGTAGTTCTTTAAACTGTGTGCCGAAATAATTTTCCTGTCTTGAAACGCAAACTCTACTAAACTACCGCAATAATATCACGAGATTAGCAATTTAATGCCTTTTTGCCTTAGAACGACCTTGATAACGTTAAATGACATATTAAAATTTGTAAATAATTAATTCTTATTGTGAAAAATATTACCTCGGGAATCGAATCCGGATCTCTATTAGCATTCCGTGTGAGCGTCCTAAAGTCTGTTCTACAATAGAGTCGCAAGCTGTAAGCCATAAGGAATTAATCATAATCGATTATTTTTTTTATATTCAACTGTGATTAGCCAATTTCTTACGGCTTATGACTTGTGACTCTATTGTAAAACATTAGCCTTTAAACTATCGAGATATTTTAAGAGCTATAAGACCCTTTTTTAATATTAAGAATCTTTATTTTAGATCGCATAGAGAAACACAATATTAGAAAAATGCCTATTATGATCGAAGATCATGAATCTTCATTGCTTTAAATAATTCAATCTTGAATTACTAATATACACTACATATGTACTCTTTTTTAAATATAAATTTCATCCATGTTTAATGCAGCTGCTTGGATTTTGAATAATAAATCACACACGATTTTTGCACTCATCCAATGTAAGAATTAAACAATAAATAAATCAATATTTTTATATTTGATAATCATTATCTCTAAATTAAATTTCTAAACGTTTTGTAGTACTAAACGTTTCAATGATATTTTATTATATATTTAAAATTATTGTTAAATGATATGCAAATTTTAAATTAGATTTAAATGAAAGTTTGTCACTCGTTCACAAGGTTACTTGTAAGTATCGATGTCTTTCTTAGCAAGTCGCAAACAAACAAGAATCGACCAAACTATCGGACCGACAAGGTTTCTCACTTTAGGGATTCGACTCTCCGACATGCATCGGCGCGTAATCTCCAAGTATACGAAGGAGAGTGTGATCTCTCTCCTTGAAGTTTAAACTTCCGTTAAGGCAGCTTAAAACTCAGATAACGGGAATTACGTTGGAAATATCTCGCCGATGGACAGACTTCGGAATTGCATCACTTGACGAGAAGCTCGACGCGAGAGCGTCGAACGAGAGCTCTTGATCGCTATACGATTTATGTACGAAGCCGAGCTATTTTTCTCGTTTAAACAATTTTAGTTAACGTATATCATTCGATTGTTCTTATACTGTTCTTATACTGTTTGTATACATAGTGCATAAAAACACTTGTCTATAGAATAACTTCAACAAATACGCCACGCTAGGATTTACGCAGAAGACAGAAAAAATAGAAAGAGATAATTTTCCTGTAACTACTCTGTTACATGCCTTTACGTTATATTAGTATAGTAGTATTTCAACTTCTTACTGTTAACATTAATAAAATTATTGTAAATTGAATCAATTTGTCACTGTAAGTAATCATTATAAATTATAATCTACATAAAATGATTACTGTAGGACGAGCAAAAGACTTAGTGGTTATTTTGTGATACATGAATATAGAGGAATAGTAAAGTATGTTGTATAAAAATACTAGTACTTTACGCTTGTAAAGTTCTTTGTTTACTTTGTTGTCTTGTATATCCCACCTGTTTGAGATAAATGGCATTTTTAACAGGCGGGATTTATACCCAAAACATACAAAGTGCGCAGATTGAATTTAATGCACTAAATGCAATAAAAGTATTACATGAAATATGTATCTTATGTCAACACTTGTAATACATCTGGGAAGATTGTAATTATTATTTATTACTTCATATACATATTTATCATTCTTCTTCCTTAATAAAACTTTATAAATTTATTATTTTATAAGTTATTGTGTCATTTTACATCTTATTTATATGCATTATTTGTAAATTTTTTATGAGCCAGACATACCCCCTCCCCTCCTCCTCCTATGAATAGTCATATATCCCACCTCTATGAGATATACGGCAAAAATGTAAAGTTTAAAAAAGTTCATTTTTTAATGCGAAATATAAATATTTCGGATTTCTAATATTTTTTTTTTTTTTTTTCATAATAGTAGACAGTACAAAGTTTTTACTGATATAGTTCGTTTACACTTTAAACATAGTAAATATTAGGTGTACAACTTTGCTTCCGCCGTTTTCCTATAGATGACGTTAGCGGTAAGTGATGGTTGAAATAAATAGATCATAGACGTCATATAATAAACTTGGGCATCTGTCAACATAACCCCATAGAAACATTAGTCGATTTGTGTCTGCATCATAAAGTTATTCTCGATTGAAAATGTCAGTTTACGAGCCAAATTCTCGTTATTTGCGGGAGGTTTCAATTTTTTGCTTCAATATGAAGAAATCTGCGACTGAGGCTCATCGAATGCTCTCAAATACTTATGGTGACCGCTATTAGTGAAAGAACGTGTCATGAGTGGTTTCAACGCTTCAAGAACGGTGATTTTGACGTCCAAGGTCATGCTCTGTATTTGGTGGAACCAACTCGGCGTAGTGTATTATGAACTGTTAAAACAATCACAGGCGATCGGTATCGAACGCAATTGATGCGTTTGAGCCGAGCATTGAAAGACAAACGGCCGCAATACAACGAGAGACACGATAAAGTGATTTTGCAGCATGACAATGCTCGACCCCATGTTGCGAAAATGGTCAAGACATACTTGGAAACGTTGAAATGGGAAGTCCTACCCCACCCGCCGTATTCTCCAGACGTTGCTCCCTCTGACTATCACTTGTTTCGATCAATGGCACACGGCCTGGCTGATCAGCACTTCCGGTCTTATGAAGAAGTAAAAAATTGGATCGATTCGTGGATAGCCTCAAAAGATGACCAGTTTTTTCGACGCGGGATTCGTACGCTACTCGAAAGATGGGAGAAAGTAGTGGCCAGCGATGGACATACTTTGAATCATAAATGTATAACCAGTTTTTTACAATAAAGCCTCGAATTTCGGAAAAAAAACGGCGGAAGCAAAGTTGTACACCTAGTAATACTTAAATTAAGTTTTTGATAGGTGCATATATATCGAAATTACCCTGTAATTATGTGATACCTTATTATTTAATTATTACATTTTGTTTTTCGTTATTACAGGAAAGTCTGGAGGAACGAGTGCAAGAGTTGGAGCAAGCGTTACTAGCGGAACGTATCGCGGCTCAACGAGATCGAGCAACAATCACAAAATTACAGCGGCAAATCAACAAGGTATGTATATATTTCACCGTAAATAATTACGGTTTTTACCTCTTTTTAAAAAGAGGTAAAAAAGTCCGCCAAGTACATGCGCCATCCGTAGAAAAGATTCGATATAAAAAAACTACTAATTTGCAATTATTCGAACAAAACACCATAATACCAAATAAAAAAAATTCAAATGATATATGGACGCATATACTTGGCGCAAAACATTGTCGTGTTTCTTGATGTAGAATATTTACAGGACGATATATTCATCTTAGCAAACACGAAAAATCGGTGATGTTAGAAATACTTCATTATTAATTTATCAAAATTCATCAAAATATTTTCAAAAGACATAAATTATTTTAAATATATTTTTATGGAAGCCAATGATTATGGAAGACCATAAAAAGTCATAAATGTAAAAACTTGGTAAAGTTGAGGTAAAAATTTATATATTGAATAGACATTACATAATTGAACAATTAATTTTATTAATAACCAGTATATGATTTCAAATATTGCAGCAAATAAATATAAATCGGACAATTTATAGTTATCGAAAATTTTTCATAATTAGCGACTTTTACGAAAGGTCGCATTTCCGTGAAATTTTCATATCTTGTACACATTTGCCTCCTCCGTACCGAAGGGGAGAATAGCATGGTAAAATATATTACTATCGATTCGGTGTTAGTCAACTTGATCGAACTCTACTAGCTCTATTCGCGCAGTTTAAATTGAAGCACTTGAAAACTATAATATCTGTCTTGTACGAAATCACCGATTTGTTAACTCGCCTCGCTCTCTACGGAACGAAACTACAGTCGCGAGGATGGTCCAGGATGGTGGGTATTTCGTGATGGTAGTGGTTTTGATTCGGACCAAACGTGCAGATCCGCGCGGCTGGTTGCCGTTGCTCTGCGGTGGCGCCGTTTGCCGTATCAGATAACGACGACCCTCATAAACCAAATCCCATAGACTGCAGGAACTCTCGCTAGTCTTCGAGATAGAGAGAGCATCTCCGCCCCTCATGTAATCACATTCCTCTCCTGTCGGACAGTTTATTTGCGTTATGTCACTTCCAGTGAGGTGCCTCATAACCGATTTATCTCGTTATCCTCAATGATCTCGCGGTACCCATCGTCCGACACGTTGTTACTGATCGGTACTATCGATAATGTGAAATTATTATTTGAACCGTTTTGACTTAATTATCTGGAGCACTTTAGAGATAATCATTGTGATTCTCGTACATTATTATATAATAAACTACATTAATTTAATTATTTCATAATTTTATAGAGCTAACGTTGTGCGATATCTAAGTAGACGAAAGATAATTTTGCTGAAGTATTTAAAAATGTAATTAGATACACATACAGATTTAGAAATAATATTGTTTGTGGACCATCAAAATAATTGTGTGCTTAAATTAGCAGCGAGAATATTAAAACTTTATACAGGATTGTTATCAACGTTTAAACATTCTACGTAATTATTTTGATGGTCAAAGGTAATCATTTTTATCTATATTTATTTATATTTTTATCTATATTAATTAAATCTTTAGACAGCTCAGCGACCTTTCTATGTACTTACATGCTGCATACGCAATTTTCTCATTATAAATATTCATTTTTTGAAAATTACTTAATTTATCAAGTACATTGAGAAAAAGATATTTAAGAATTTATTTGTGAGAAATATTTATTTTATTGAAATAAATCTTTTCTATTTAAATACGGTGAAATAAAATGTTATTTTTAAGAAATAAGCCATCTATAAAAACTGTATAATTTGCCACAGATAAGCAGTTAGATAAGAGATTAAAATATTCAAACTGTGACATGAAACCCTCTTTTCTCTCAAAGAAAATAATTTCTTGCTAAAAAGATTATTGTGTAACTACGGTAAAACGGTCGCGTTGTAATAAAAATAAAAAAATTACATATTCGCGACAACAATATTAAAATACGAGAAAGCCTGCGCTTTTGTATGATGTTTTTATATTACGCAATGTTTTATTGTATATAACCGAGTACGTATTTTTTACCACACTTCATTTCCCGCCGTGCAATTTCCGGCATAAGGCATTATTCGCGATTATCTCGACGTTTTCATCGAGATGAAAAGATCGCGCGCATATGCAAAGACCGACGGCGACTGTAATATTCTGAACTTATCCATATCATTTTAATCCACTTTTCGTTGCCAAGTCGACAACAGAAAGTCTGTCTCGTCTCTTGCTAAGATGGACCTTCCAGATTAGAATGTGGCTGATGGGTACATAGCGTGCTTCTGACGTGCCCTTTTTCCGCGCCCCTTTTGTAAATCTATAAAATATTACGACAAAAACATAAGCGGTCAGAGGGTGCAGAACACCCTCGACTCTGTTTAATCTCGTGCAGTGATTTACGCATTTCTCGCGAGCGGCCCGAATTATTTATCACTCATCACGCGATCGTAAGTTGAAAGACTCCCTCCCGCCGATTTTCTTCGAATCATCTCCGCCGTCGTTGCGAGATCACGGATGCTTCTTTTTGGAGCTTCAAGCATAGGCGTTCAAAATGAGGGGCAAAAAGGGGCATTTGCTTTCCCTCAGCCGATGATTTCTAATACAATTTCTCATTGACTTACATCTATCTTGTCGCGGTGAGAAAACTTTAAAAAATTTTTTTAATCTAT